TACTGTCGTGCCATATAAGTAAGGCAAACCATGTGCGCACTCCACAGATGTCTCATTGATGTCAGTGATAATCATAGCACAGCCTGATGTGCTCAACATCTTCGTTCGAAGTTCATATATTTAGATATGCTCCTTGCTGTAAATTTTCAACATCTGGCTCCATGAAGATACACTTCTGCAATTCTAATAAAAACTACTGATACAACTGGTCCTCTCATATCTGAAAAAATCGGGGGTGCAAGAACCAGTGACAACTCAGCAACAAAAAATTGAGGAGATACACCCAAGGCAATCGTGATCGCATAAAAAAAGAATTTTTCCAGCAGTTATATCTTCTACAAACTAATACTGACAGTGCCAACCAATTTCTCTTCCTCGCCGATTACCTTGAGCTTTGACACGCACGCTCTTCAGCCCGCGCAACTCTTTTGTGACTTCAACAGCGACGTCCAACTACGCGCCTACCAGGAAAGTTCCTTCTCGCAGCCGTGATGATCGCGCTGATGCTTTCCGTATCATATGCATGTTACCTGCCGATGCTACAAACCTATCACTTGTATACAAAGACCTCAAATCAAACATTTATTATGTGAAGACGCCTGAAGACGCGCGAAGCCGCTCTCGCTTGTAATATATATCCATATGCACATGAATTTCAATCGAAAATTCGCTGTTGCATGTTGAAACGAGAGATTGCATGTACAAATAAAAACACTGATGAATTACTTATGCCGCGTACCCGGATTGAACGAGTGACCTTCTCATTGGACATTAACCGTACGAGTGAGACGCGCTACCACTACGCCAACACGGCTGTGCGGGTCAGTCGCGCCAGCCACTTCTCGGACCGGGACGGGAATTTCGGGCCCCTTCACGCATCGGAAAATCTATTGGATTCCATGTCCCTCTCCACGCAAGCATTAATGGGGTAGTGGTAACCTGGGTCGTTGCCATTCGACGTACGCGTCGACCCGCCGGGGGTTCGATTCCCTCTTAATGCACTAGGTCACAACTGTACCTTGTTTTTGTTTTTCCAGTTTCTCATCATTTTCGCCGGAACTACTTATTAGCCTGGCGTGCCTCTGCAAAAAGTGGTGCAAATTTCCCCCTCGCTGAAACGATCCGGATTTCAAGGCATCCCAATTTTGGTGGCTTTGATAAAATAGGTGCCTCTGGCCTGGACTTCAATGACGTATCTTCCCCGTCCCTGACGTGCTATTATTAGTTCCTGCCTAACGCCACAGTAAGCAACCACTCCACTGGCAAGTACGCTACTTGAGCTGATGACAAGCAAATAAGGACCTTATCCGATAGATTTTGTTAAAATTAGGAATTTTCTCTTGGGCTCTGGGCTTCTTATCTATGCCGACATATTCCATGATGAGTAGTAACAACTTTGCGCCGTATGGGTGTCTGGAACAAGGCACCAGGTAGGCATAGATATCAGCAGTGCTGAGTGATTCTTGATCAATATCAACGTTTCAATATGGTCCGAGTGCGGGGAAAACGTTACATCGGCAAACCGTGGTCCATTAGACCGCGGAACATACCCCAACATACCCAGCAGAGCGGATGGTGCTATCAGATGATACACCATGGATTTCCTCAGCACCAAAAAATTATCAGAAGCCTCTGCCATGGATTTTTGGTGTGGGCGAGGTCGAATATTTTTCCTTGGGTGAAGTCAGCAGACCGGTCGAACCTCAATGGGCGCCGGGGCCGGGCGCGCGTGGCGACACGCGCCACGCCGTTGTCATCATGTGACTACATCATCGCTAGTCTGGGCAATTCGAGGGCCGAGGCTAGCGCAATGCGCATCGCCAACACCATGGCTCATCACCTATTTTGGCTCCCTACGAACCAGGGCTTGCGACAGAATCTCAGACGAAAAATACTGGATTTTATGCCTTGGCTGGTTCAACTGTGACTGTTTCCACCTTTTGAATAGTACACGGCCGCATGACTCGGAGGGCTAGCGCTCCCGGCACCAATCGAGGACGCGATTCAAGGCACATTTTCGACATCGTTTATCTCGACACTTTTGCCTTGACGTACACTTGCGTGTTGAACGGAAAACTCCCCGTCTACTTGGGTCATCCCTGTGACGTACGGCTTAACTTCGACCGGTGTAATCATCTCCAACTGGACTCAGGTATTGGACTGTTTGCTGAGAAACCAAGACTGTAGCAGTAAAACGTGTCTGGTCAAAAATCAGGATTAGGCTAGCTATTATTCGAGGTGATATCTAGGCTACGTGGGTTTGGGGTACTACTACACTGGTACAGCTATGGTACAACTATCATGATGGTACAACTGCGGATACAACTGCGGATACTACAAGTGCGATGTTCTTTCAAATGTCCGAGCCTATAGTGATGCTTGGCGGTCGACGCGAATGTCAGATGCAACGAAAACCAGACTGACGATTCTGCGGCTGTCGTAATGAACGGATGAAGACTGCGATTCAATCCTATCGACGATTTGTATTCAGTTATTGTCTCAGAAGATATTGAATGCATCTTACTTGACAGTCACGGTCTTGTGCCGCTCGAAATCAACTGGTCTTTGGGATCCTGGCAAGTTCTTCCGGATACCACGGATGATATACATGCCGCCGAACGAGCCTCCCTGAAGAAAGCACTGTTATTCTTTGACCTATGCTTGTTCACGGTGAAAGCACCTACTCGATTTGTGGCAGGATCGACAGGCGCCTCAACGGCCTGCATCCATTTCACCTTCAAGCCGTCGGGGGAGCTTCTGCGCATCGCCAGGACCATTTGGCTAATCCCCTCTCGGCTGAGTGGCGCGCCATTGACGCTAGCGTTCACGTCGTCGGCAAAGGTCGCGGATATCGCGCGTAGCGACTGCTCATCGGTGGGTGCTTCAAAAACGTCGCGGATGTGTCGCACAGACCACTCAACCAAAGAACAGAGGCGGGCGCTATCGGTTCGAGCTTCCATGATATGAGGGCAGTTATTGGGCGTGAGACTGCTGTAGTACTTACACCCACAGGCCTGCACAGGCCCTTCTTATCCTCCACAGCGGTTAGATGGGCCGCCCAAAGGCTACTTAACTATTTACCTGTAACTCCAAGATGACCTCAAGCGAGCAATACTCGGTGACCCGATCGGTACTCGGGGGCATGTGATGTGTCGCAGCGTATTGGCAATGGTACGTCGAAGCGTTTTAAGTGGCATTCCGCTCTCGTGATGTACATGCCGATGATTGTACCCAGTGCAGGCAGGTAGCCTTTATGACGTCTGGTGGTTGTTCCTTTCCGGCATGAAAACGATAAATAATTCAGCAGATCTATGGAGTGCCTGCAATTCACAGTCATCCCGTAAAGTTGAAATGGCTGAATCAAGGAACCATCGCACCTTGAAAGTGACTAATGTGTACAGTAACTTCGCGGAGTTGACAATGTCCTGATGACGAAGTTCGATAAATGCACAATATGAGCGACATTTGGCGTCAGTTGTGACCTGACATCTTGCAACGCAGAAGACCCAACACACCCACACCAAACCATCTGACTATGGACATGACAGGGATTTACTTCCCTAACGAAGCGGTCTGGCGATAAGTAACGAGGCAGACTTTCAGTGTTTCCCGTGTTTTCTTGCCAGAGGTCACACCGAATCTTGATTATGATCGGCCGCCACAACTTCGACTTCTTGTGACTTTCCTTACATATGTACTGAGCATCATGGTTTGTATCATCACTGAGGTCACGACACAGGAGATCACTGGAACAAATCACTTTCAGGATGCGCCAACGATCCCCTTTTGATGCTGTGAGGGATGCAAGGGGGATGCAAGGGGGACAACCTGCTATTCCTCGTGGACCTACGGAAAAACAAATCAGACGCATGACAATGTCGGCTGGTTGACAACTGACATATGGACATTGTTTGGGTGACGAAGGGCGCAGGTAATAATCCATTCACTGTTCATGGCAAATATCACCAGGCGATCTTTCACCAGCTAAGGTTATCTTGGTGGCGGCAGCTGTCAACGGGATGATTGGATTTTAAAGCATGCAGAGCTGACACAACACGGAGGTGACGGCAGACCGACCTGAACTTGAAGTTTATCGCTTGTTGAAGTGTAAGTCGCGGTGAGGGTGGTAACGGGAAAGTCTGACGGGTTTTGTCAATACCAGTGCGTTCTTTCATCTTTTATTTCTCGACCTTACTATTATATTCCTATCCCAAAACTGTCTTTTAATAAGAATACAATGTCGCCGGAAGGCTTAATTCCAGACATATTTCAAACACACCGGTCTGTGTTGGTACTAGTCGAAGGGCTTCAATTTTTGTATTAATTTTTTTGGGTAAAATGGCTCACGGTATATATGGGATTTTGTAGAAGAAGTTTAAAATTTCGGAAAAGCTTGTCCCAGTGGTTTACGCCGCAATGATTATAGTTACCTTTTGATCGATATTCTCCTATTAATGCCAGAGGGATGGGTCACATCGACTGTACAGTTGAATCAACTATGTTTCGTTATTTTTTGCATTTGATCAGTGGCGTGCAATAAAGCCTCTAATGGTGCAATTCGATCACTTGATAAGCTCTGAGCTTGACGGAATCGTCGGACGAAAGGGAAGAAGATTGGCCTGGTAATCAGTTTATTGATTCCTCACGAGTCATGGAAGATCGGGGTTCCTAGATGCGAGTTATTTTAGCGTTACGGCGCCTGATGAATCCGATTCGGTAATGTTCACTGACTGAGGGTCCAGCGCTAGCGCTCTACGTAACGCAAAGAATAGACCTTTGACGCGCCCACAAAAAGCCGAATTTTCATTCTAGTTGTTTAAATATTTCATTCTCGTATCAGGGCTCTTTAGATAGATCTTCTAAGTCTCACTTGTAGAATAAAAGGTTTCAGCGTCATTTCATTCTCTAAAATGCCCCCCACGCACCTATTCATTGAGAATTCCCTAAAACGCATTCAAGCACTCTTCGCAGGAAATTATCTGGTCGATTCCAAACAAGCGAAGCTCGTGTAAGCTGAAATTTTAGCCTCTCATAAAGATTGCGAGCCCTCACTTGCTAGCAGCTGGGAAAAGCCAAACTATCCCAGCTATTTCCCAGAAAATGAGTTACCGAAGGAGTTTCTCGAAGAAAATAAATCCACAAATGAGACCAACAGGAAGATATATGACATCGTGGTTGGAACGTAGCGCGAACCATCTGCTGTGACGAGTTATAACTCGAAGGAGAAAGATTTGGGCGGCCTATTCACAGTGAGATTTGGTGCTATGGATGCCTGGTTCGAAGAAGAGGAAGAGATTTTTGTTCATTGCAAAGATCCGTATAAGATGAGAGCCCACCGAGACATGAGTCCCAGACAGACTAAGGATCCTCCCAGAGTGTCGATGTACTTCAATCATCAAGACACGTTCGTATTGAGGTACACGGCATTGAAGTCGCATATACATGCATGCCTCGGCTGCTGCACGAAACTGGCCTCCGTGTGCGAACCTACATCCCAAAGAACAACTGCCGCATGGATCTTCTACAACCGTCAAATCTGACCAGCCAATGCCCATACAAGGTTGGAAATCCTTTATTTTTTCTTTCCCACATTTCAATATGAAACCACGATTAGGGGTAAGCAAACTATTACCACGCTCAGATCCCCTCCTGTAAGCGGGACGATAACATTGTGTGGTGGTATCGTAACCCGACCCCAGAGTGTTCAGCGATTCGAGGATATTTAGCATTTTACGATGATAGGTGTGAAGCAATAAAGTGATCAACACTTACATTGTAAGCTGAGAACCCCGGTGTCATACCCACGTGCCATGTGACACACATGGATGAGTGACACTTGGGAAGGCTTTTGACTATACTTCGAAGATGGCGTTTGCCTCCGGGTATGTATAGTTGCTCTATGTGATTTTGTGATCTCAAATATTCCCCGTGACCCAGTTCTGCCTTCGGGGCACCCCAAAATACTCAAACCAGCCTCTTCGGTGCACCTAAACCCTCGGGT